AGAATTGGATATCCAAGGAATTAGAAAAGAAGGAGAGATCATTCATGGTTGTTGGTGACGTTTATTGTTTGAATGCTGGGAAAGATTTACAAAATTATTCAAGTGGCCACATCAAATCCGTGATTCTCTATAATCACTGTAGTGTAGTAATCGAGTGCTCCTCGGATCACCTCTTGTGATTTTATCAAACCAACACTTGTGCACCTCCACCAGTTGTGCTCTCACCCTATATATATGACCAAACCATTAAGTGATGTCATATAAAGCGTGTGTCCCTTTAATTGGACTGTGATGAGATGGGATTACTATCCAAAGGGTCTGGATCCCCTTCATAGTGCTTTATCCTTATAAAAAGCATGTATTTAATATAAGCTGTATTCCACTCACATGTGTAATATAATAGTGCAATTTTTGCAAAGATAAATTGCTCCAAATTGCCACTAGCAATTCTAGCATGCACAACCAGCCGATACCTTTCTCACTTTAGGGTCTCTCAGTTTCCTGACATCCTAATATCTTTCAAGACCTTGTGTGAATGTGTACCCTAGGCTGTGCCGTGCTGTACCCTATACTAATACTCCACTAGTGTGTTGTACGACAGACGCAGTCCTTGAGGCAGAGACCAGGTTGGCCAGGACAGGAGGGACACAGAAAGTATGTGTCATGTCTAATTCTGTGTCTGGTACAGACAGATCTTTTTTTAAGGTGACTTTTGGGTTGGGGTACAAGGAATGGCATCAGGAAAATGCCTCTCATGCAGCCAGCTAACTGCATCTGAGTTGGGGGTTTGGGCCACTGCACCTTCTGAATGCAAAATGGCTGTGCTGATCTCTGTCTGAAATTTTAGGAAGGATCCACTTATTCCAGTTGCTTTTTAGAGCACAAAAGCGTTGTTCAGAACCAATTGAATTATACAGACACTTTTTTGTACAAGCATCTGGCTTTATGGGAAACGAAGTACAGCTTCATCATCTGGTTGTTGAAGTCCACCCCTCCCATGTTAAGGTTCTAATCGTAGATGCAGAGGGGCTTCTCAACAACATCAGTTACTGTGCAAGCTTGGACTGTCACCTCTGCGTGAATGGAAGACAGGACGAAAACATCTAGTTTGTCCTTCCACACTCAATGTGAGGGCTTTCTCCCCTTTCTACGTTTGGTATTTACAAGTCATTGGAGGAAGCTTACGGAACAAGAGTGACACCAAGTCCCAAAGTATTTTGCCCCGTGGGGGGGGGGGTCAGAGGGGCTAAACAAAGGTGCTGGCAGCTATCAAGGCTGATTGATTCTGCCAGTGCTGCGTTTTTATGGACATTTTGGTATTGGCTAGTATAGTTCTGTAAACACAGAGGGTGAGCTCTGATTCGGCAAAGCCAATCAGCAGGTCCAGGCCAAAAATCATTGCCCTGGATCTAAAGACTGATTGGTGCTGTACACTGCAAGAGCGCGGATCACACATATATATATATATGTGATTTTGCGCAGGGCGGCCACACTAGACGTAAAGCTACAGGAGGCAGTGGCCAACTTGATATAATATTGTATATACACATTTGTATACAAACAAGTAGCAGAGTCACCATATTCAGGATAATGTGAGTTTTTTAAGGTTTCAATAGAGGGCAGTGATTTAACAGGAATATGCAGTAGCAATTCAAAACAGCTATGGCAGCAATGTAGTTACATGAATTCTAACTACCCCTTCTCTCTTTGACATGGCACCATTAAAAGTTTACCTCATGGCACATACAGTATATACCCTTTATGGAGGGACCTTGAAACAAGCACTAGTTTAGTAACGGTGCCTAAAGGCACTGGCTATCCTTACTTTTGCCATATCATAAATCTGTATCAGGTGTACTACTGTTTCCTACTACCCTCCTGCAGTAGACACTGACTCATTAGTAATTTGTGGCAAATTTGACTGTGAATGGGATGCTGAACTTTTCAAATTCTTTTTTTTGTCTCGCTACTTTAACAAAAAGCCAATAAGAACAATATAGCAATTGTGAGATCTTTTCAGATAAAGAAGTATTGATGAAGTTGTTTGTGACCAGTTCCTATTTGGTGTATATCTTATTCTCCTAGATGTGCTTTTTTCAGGTTCTGCCTCTTGCAGTCACTCTTTAATTTCTGAGCATTATTAGAACAGACAGAACCCCCCCCCCCCCCCAATACCTAGAGTCCTGTCACATGCTGTTCTACAATCATTTGCCTTTTTTTTCCTTCAAGATGTCTTTGTTCTTTTAGGCAGTGGTAAGGTAGCCCTGGACTCCTTGTGCCCTGGGAAGACCACGTCACCACTGCCATCCCAGAAGATTTCATTGCAAAGCTTCAAGATCTGGCAAGATTTTGTTAAGTCTCATGAGATCTTGCAGTTAGACTTTGCTTTTACCAAAAAATATGTGTTACGTGAGGAAGCGGGCAATTACAAGGTAATGGATGAATGCTTTAATGAAGAATGGTGAAATTTCCCTAATTCATTCATTGCTGTGTATATGCCTGTTACTCACATTCCATACTATGTGATCATAAGTGGATTAGTGTACATATGCAAGAGTTTGCACATACATCATTGGTAGGCCAGCAAAAACAGTACTTGGAATAGATGCTGGCCTACAATGACGGCAAAGGGTGAAATATGCTGATAAGTGAATGACATTGATTTTCTCCTTACAATGGTATCGGAAAGCTGGTGGGATATATTAAGCAGAGAGTAAACATGTTCTCCACAAGGTTGATGCATTGAAAGCAGAAAAATGGACATTGCAATTTGTTGTGTACGGTCTGCGTAACCAGAAACTGGCCAGGATGCCCATGCTGAAGAGTGTCCACGGCCAAAGATGCCTACAGTGGGCATATGAGTATCAGAACTGGACCACACAACAATGGAAAGTGATGGCATGGACTGATAAATAACACTTTCTTTCGCATCATGAGGCTCTCCGGATGTATATACATCGCTTACCCAGGGAAGAGATGGCACAAGTATGTAGGGAGAAGGCAAGCCTACAGTGGCAGTGTGATGCTTTGGGCAATGTTTGGGTCCTACCATTTATATGAATGTTATTTTTGACACATACCATTTACCTAAACATTGTTGGTGACCAAGTACACCCCTTCATGAAAACAATATTCCCTAATGACAGTGGCCTCTTTCAGCAGGACAATGCACCATCGCACTGCAAAAATGGCAACTATAGCTGATTTTCATTCTGGAAATGCTAGTTGCTTGGCTGTTCAGCTCACCCATCTCGAGTATGCAGCTCAGAGTCAGGTCAGAAGCCCTTAATATCATACCTGCCTTAGTAAGTGAACCAGAGTATTCTTATGTAGTAAGGCTTCAGATGAAGATGTACTCAATAGCAGTATTCATGTTTCTGTCATTAAAGGTTTCCATTAACATCATTTATTCATCATCCTTTAACATAACTTATCAAACATCATATGATTAGTTACTGATCAACTTGCATACGCATGGCTATAATGCTCACTGATTGTAAGAGTCAAAAGTACTGCTTTACCAAAATGGTAAACTGCATGATTAAAATTCCGCTCTGTATTTAAATCCATGTCATTTTGATTTGTTCCATGCTTCAGTATAGTGGGATTAGAGTTATATGTTGATTCATTTTATGCTTTGTTATAATATGATAATGCAATCACATTTGATGCATTGTGAAAATGTAACCATATATAGATTTATTCATTGATTTTTACAATCATACTTGGGGAGAGGAAACAAAAGTCTAAATTTGTGGTTATGGTCAAATTAATATCCTGTGCGTTTAGGAATTTTTTATGGAGATCATCTATACTAAGATGATGCCTTTACATTGGAGTTACAATATCTACAGTACCAAAGATACTGTATGTTCCCCTTTGAAATGTACTGGGACTTTTGAGGCAACAAGAAGGCAAACAAAAGAGCATAAACATATGAATTATTTTATTACAAAGGCTTAAAACATCATTATATTAACACATTGGGCAAACATTAAAATCACACATAAAGATAGTTGCAAATGAGCCTGTTAACTTGCTGAAAGATATGGTGTGTTGTTCTCCCTCTTCCGTAAACCAAGGGAGGGAAAAGAAAGGGCGAGTAGACTTCAGCTAGAGATCCAACGTGTTTCAGAGCACAGTTTTTCTTCAGGGGTAAACTGAAGAGGGGGGATGGCCAAGGAACATTCATCCAACTTCCTTGTACGGATTTACTCCCCACAGTTACAAAAAGGCAAAAATGGTCTCCTGTTAGTGTGTTCACCATCAACACCTCGATGCATCTAGGGCTCGATGAAAAAATAGATTGGGGGGAGGACAGAAACACCCCCCAGAGATTTCTCACACTGGGATCACCCAAAAAGGACAGTGGAAACCAGATATGAGGCTATAAAGCCGAGAAAAAAAATCTGTATCCCAAAGTATAAAGCGTAAAGCAACAATACCTTTATGTAGAATTGTAAAGAAAGTTACAATATCTACAGAGGTGTACTGTACCTACCATATCTAACAGCAGTATTTAAATGTGTGGCTAATTATCATTACTAATTGAAAACTTTTTATCATAGCCCAATCAAATACGACCCGCTCCTTTGCAATATCACATTACAATCAAATGCATAATTCTATTCCTTTAGATAATTTTCAGACTGACTTTTTATTTCGAGCCTTATGACAGTTTATACAATCCCATCTGGGTAGTAAAACTTGTTAAGTGAAATGTTAATGGCTGTCTTTAAAGTGAAATGATTTTACATCTATTTTTCTTTCTTAAGTTATGAGCCCTGACTTCATCGTAAACAGTACACTAAAACATAACCATTTAATTTGACCACAAATGAAGTTTTATGATGGGGACTATTTCTGTGTGTATGCAGTATTCAAACTAGTTAATAATGCATTTGGCATGGTAATAAGTGTGACAGAACTGAGTAAATATTTTCTGAAGCCTACTCTTGACATAAGATGCCATTTTCAATGTTTTTTTTTTTTTCATTCTACAGACAGAGTTATTTGTCCATTCATTTAAGGACCAGCTGGTAAGCAATGCTCTTCTGGCACTGTACACTGCTCGGCCAGGCTGTGCAAATAAGAAGCTCACAGACCCGAGGATAAGCACTGATGAGAATGATCTTCAGGGTCAGGAGCCTGTGAATCCTATAACAAGGCAAGATTCTATACCTCACCACTCTGAATATGATGAGGAGGAATGGGTAAGTACCTCTCATTCATCATGCTATGCGGATAATGGGATAGGGACATTTAAGTCCAAGTTGTACCTCTTGTTGGTGTGTTATAATCTGCTGTAATGATGCATTGGGGATTGTCAACAGCATTATATACTTGTGCTGCTTTGTTGAATGGAACCATTGAGGTAGGAGCACTTAAGCAAAATGTATTTCTGGCTTTGAGTGTAGGATACAGGTGATGTGCTTGCTATCTAGTATGTCTGCCTATAGGCATACCTATATAACTTGCTACCCTTTATATAATCCTTACTTTCTTTAGTGCAAACTCTAAAAATGTGAAATAGCTACCTGTACCACTTAGGACATCCTAACCCGTTTACGGACTTAAAGTGTATCTAAACTCGAGAGCAAAAATCTACTATAGTGCAGCTTAATGGTGATTAGATGTGATGGCTGCATTGGTTTCCTTTTTTCAGGTTCCTTAACTATAGTGTCACCTAATGATCCTGCCAATAATACACTTCTGTCCTTTGGTGACCACGTTTACTCGCTATACTCTATCTATGAAGGAACAGCATTGTCACTTTAGGACTGAAAGTATGTTGGGACTACAGAACACCCCCCCCCTATTAACAGCTGCAAATTATTGGGGCAGGCATATTGTAGTTCACAGAGATGAACTAAGCAGAGCTAAAAAAAGTGCTTTTAATGGTACTCTTGGCAAAGCAAAGGGGAGCAAATAAGAGTTGTTCATTGCTAGGATTTACATAAACGTATTATTCATATTACTTATTTTAATATCATTTCATTGCAGTCGCATATCACACATGTACCTCCATAACCCATTTCCTTTCCTGCTAAACCATTATTTTTTTATAAATAGATACAACACTGTCTAACTGTCTGAAAAACTGAATTCATAGAACAGTGGTTAATGTTTCATACTTTGAATGGTCTAAGGTTATTATTGGTGTATCCCAACGTTCAGTATTGGGACCTTTACTTTTTAACCTATTTATAAATGATATAGGGTTTAGGATTAAAAGTACTATTTCTGTGTTTGCAGATGACACCAGGCTATTCAGTGGAATACAGAATGTCTCCAACTTACAAGTTAACCTCAATGCACTGTTTAATTGGGCTCTATGTGGCAAATTACATTTAATATTAATAAATGTAAAATTATGCACATGGTTGCTAAAAACATGCGTGCATCATACATTCTAGGAGAACAGATGGGGGAGTCAATAGTTGAGAAGAACCTGGGTGTTCTGATACATCTTAACCCTAATAAGAGCATGCAATACCAAGCTTTAGTTTCTAAAGCTTGCAAAATTCTTTATTTTATTAAAAAAAGCTATTGACTCCAGAGAGGGACAACTTTTTGTCCCTGTTCAAATCATTAGTGAGACTTCATCTGGAATATGCAGTTCAGTTCTGGGCACCGATTTACATAAAAGGATAATGGAGAAGTATAGAGAGTGCAGAGAGGGGCAACCAAACTGATAAGAGACATGGAGGAGCTCAGCTATGAGGAAAGATTAGAGGAACTGAATTTATTCTCCCTTAAAAAGATGCTATTAAAGGAAATCTGATAACCATGTGTAAATACATAAATGATCCAATAGTAAACTTGACTTACTTTTGTTGTGCACTTTAGGGACAATACAGAGGATAAGGGGCACTCTTTTCTTCTGGAGGAAAAGAGGTTTAACCTCTACATACAGACAGGCTTCTTCACAGTATGAACTGTAAAAATGTGGTATTGTCTCCCTCATAAATTAGTTCTAGTCAGCTCAGTTGGTTGGTTAAAAAAAAAAAAAGATATATGCAGTCCTAAATGCACGAAATATAACTGAATATAGGTAATAGCACCAGAGATTGAAGATCCAGGGAATGTTCAGTTGCCTACTGGGGGATCAGACAAGAATTCATTTTTCCCCCTACTGGAGCAAATTAGACCATGTTCTATAGGGATGAGTTTTTTTGCCTTCTTCTGGTTCAACTGTGGGTATAGGGTTTTTTTCTTGTTCAATCTTTCTATTTATTTCAAGCATAAATCTAGAACATACAGTATGTCATTTCATTAGATATCCAGAGAAGAAGACCTCCATGTGTAACAGCAGCTATTGAAGTTTACATCATACAATTATAGTAATGTAGAGAAGACTTGTATGCCTTATAATAAGAAAGCTCAAAAACAACTTTGAAATTGGTCTCAGATGCTTTCTTCGATACAGAAATAGTAAGCATAGGAACAAAAAATCATAATAGGTCATAAATCCAGAGGAAAGGAAGAAGAATAGGAATAGAGTGCAAGAAAGCTAAATGGTGTTAAAGAGTGGAGGAGAAGAAAGGGAGAGAAGGTGGTCAAGGGGTTCGCCATCTGTTGTAAGGTCCCCGTTCTAAATCTCAGATTTCTGGAAGACGGCAGTCTATGTCCCTCAAGAGGAAATGTGAAAGCCATGGCTCCCAAACTTGGTGAAATCTAGTCATATTACCTGTGGGGTATAAGGTTTTTTTATTGGTTGAACTGGATGGACTTGTGGTTTTTTTTTTTTCTACCTATGTAAAACCCTCGTTGGGAATAGACTCCTCACTAGCACCAGGCAACACACCTACACACACACTTTTCATCAGTACTGGAAGACAACGGAGGTGTCTATAATTCATGAAGACCACTCTTGTTGTATGGCCAGTGTGGCTATTGGACATGCTGGAACTTTTTAGCTGATCTTTTGTTAGTATAGAGACAAAAACAAATACATACTATATGCATGTTCACGAGCATAGAAACATATATGAAGCATAAATTTAAAGCAAAGATCTTATAGCAGTCACATTTTCAGCATCCAATAGCTATCCTATGTCTGCAAACTGCTATTAAGACATTTTCATTCAGTAAATGGCTAACATGATTTGATAGTCAAAAGCAAATGGAGTTGTGTACTGCAAAGATAACTGTTTATCTCTCATATAATTGGGAAAACTAATATTACCTGAGAGAAACATTGTTTTTAAAGACCAGCAATATTACTGGACTAATTTAGCAGTGGTAATTGAAGATTGTGTGATTCATCAGTGCTTCTGATGTGAAGGTAAACCACACGGGAGATTCCTTCCCTCTGCAAGGCTTTAATAGCTCTAATGTTGTGCATTTTGTTGGCACATATTTTCAGTAGGAAAATGATCAGAGTTCTTTTATACTTTTACTTATATCTCTGTATTTACAAAATCATCATTTTGTTTATGCTGTTCTTTTTCTTTTTTTTTTTTGTTGCATATGACCTTTAGAACAAGTATTTTTCACACAAAAATCCTAAGATTAGTACATACGTTGTAGCATGTTTTTGTAAGGCATTTCTCATACACACCCCATTTTTAAACTATCATTTGTTATGTACAAATCTAGCTCAAATACTTTGTGAGTTACAGCAAGAAATTCTACAGAAAGACTGTGCATTTATTTATAAATTGCATTTTTTCTCTTATTTTGATAGCCCTACTTGGATTTGCTTTATTTTATTAATATCTTTCAATATCTCTGTGTTGGTATGATCTCAGCAACCACTTACAATATTCCAGGTGAGGCCTGACTGAAGTGGTGTTCTGGAAAATCATTATCTCTGACCTTCAGGTAGTAATCCCTTTACTGATGCATCCAAGAATTCTGCGAGCACTGCCAACTGCCTGGATATACTGTTCACTCATTTTTAAGTTCCTTGGAACAAAAACTCTCTTGTCTCTAGCTATTTAGTAATTGGAGGCAGCCTTATACCTCCAGTGGTATGAACTAGCTTTTTTTTTCCTTTGAAAATCCCAAATATCTGACTTCCCTTTTTGCAAATCAGTTTTGTGTCACACAAAGTTCCATGAAGTATTGAATATCATTATGCTATCAGCAACATTGCATGGCTTACTTGCAAAGCCTTTTGCATGTCAATTACCATCCTTTTAAAAAGATCAAGGGCAGAGCCCATTGGTGTGTCGCCCGTAACTTGCCTTTGTCTAGGGCAGCGCAGTGTGCTGTGTATGTATACTTTCTAGCAGGTAATATATTCACTCTAGTATCTCACCTTCTCATCTCATTAGAGCTGATCATACATGATGAACTTGTACTTGATGAACATGAATTACAACACTTTCAGTATACATGGGAGGAAATTAATACATGAAAATACCCAAGGACACCCCTGCTGTAATCTGAAGAGTTGTAAATTCTCTGCGACAAGTTATTCTTCTATCTTGATTTGGCAGAGATAAGTGCAATACTACTACCTATCAGGAGCTGATATACATTTCAAGCAAATTAGTGATTTCCTTGTGATGAATCATAATCAAACAATTATATCCATGTCCACCTTAAAAAAGACTAATAAAAACTGAAAAAAAAACCCTTTTCTCCTTGTGCAGTGGTTAAATCACAGCAATAATTCTTTTCACCTCTGCATGGCTTGGCAGTTTTCTGAGCTTAAGCCAGATGCTAGAGAGGTTTAAAGTGCAAGAAATCCCTAAAAATGATTTTCTCTTATTTGCTCACTTTAATTTTGCTCATCTGTTAAATATACCAGTGAAAGTGTTTTTTGTTATATTTGTTTGATACATGCAGAAAAAGAAGAAAGATATACTTGTTGATCCTGCCAGAAATCAAGTGCTGTCCTGTGCACTGTACAGTGTTTCTAGCCCAGTCGGTTCCATCCTGTGAACTACAGAATATCTTCCCTTTGTGAGATTTTGGGATGGGGTGGTGTTATTTAGTCCTAATACACTTCCTGTTCTCCTGTCACAGGGTAACAACCCTGTTCGTTTGTGAGTGTCACTTTAGGACAGTAAGTGTTACTGGCAAGATCACCAGGTGAAAAGAAAGTCTGTAGGGCCTGGAAAGCTGCATTCTATATAATTTTTGTTCTTGAGTTTAGATATACTTTTAAGAAAACCTGTCATGATAGATATAAGCTCCTGTGTTGACATTCTTCTCCCCAGGTTGGTTATTCTGTTTTTATGAGCCATCAATCCAGAATAAGTATACAGGTCAGGTGATGCAGCTCCACCCCAGGCAGACGTATTCTATATCTGTTACTTGCCAAGTAGGGAATAAAGAAGATGTGAATCATAGTTCCAGCTAAGTTGGCAATACCACCTCCAAGATGTGCCTATGTATGACCAATTTCCTTTAAAGTGGTTGTAAACCTCTGACATCATACATGAACAAAACATATCCTTTGTAGTGTGCGCTTGTCTCAGTCCAGACCAGAAAGTGTGTCTGTCTGCTGACTTGTTGCTCTGCTATCTGTTTGAGTCACTTTTGACAAGTGTTCTTGACACTAAGAGAAAAAAGTTGACAGGGGAAGGACCTCCAGCACACAGCATGTGATTGACAGCCTCAGCTCTGTTCCTGTGTGTTGTGTGAACAGGGGTGTGCCCATTCCCTCCAATCAACTCTCACTGAGCTCTGCAGGGTGTAATTCCTTCCCCCTGCTTTCTGGAAGCTTAGACAAGCTGTAAAAATTCTGGATGGTGAACAGCTGTAGAGGAAAGAGGACTGCAGAAAAATAGGTACAACTTAGATAGGAAAATGTGTTCCATCTCCTCATATCACCTGAGGCCAGTCACTTCACTGGGTATATGTAAGTGCTTAAAACCAAGTTAAAGCACCTCTTGAATGAAGAACAGTGCGCAGATACACATGCACTCCCCTGTATTGACCTGTTGTGGTGTATGCATGTTTTGTAAGGTGGCACAATGTAGAAGTAGATTCCACCATGCAGAAGTAGATGCCTGTCTCACCTTTAGGATAGTACCACTTTTATGAGGCCTTGAATTTTATACCAGATTATTTTATGTATCAGTATTTTATGTATGAGTGTATAGGTATGAGGTTTTCCTGTAAATCATAGTGTGTAGAACTTACAAGCTGTTTGTGTGGAACTGTTTCAACTGCTGCACTAAAGTGTGGTTCAGATAAATCAACAGCCATACCTTGGTCCAACATTTCAACGACAGTCTGTCTACTTCCAAATGCTCAAGTGTTTTAAGTCCCTTTTTAATGTAAGATAGGAAGTGTTTTTTGCAATAGAACATCACTTATTAAATAAATTCCAGTAGAAGTTCAGCTGAAACAGCACCTGACCTTCCCAAAAAATAAAAAAAAAATGCCATCTTATATTGTTTTCTGCCACTTGTATTCTTCTGTTACAGTTTGTTCTTAGCTGTTCCCGCTTTTCTATTTTATTGTTCAGCAAACCAGTTCAGTCAATGTGACTGACCCACTTGTGCTTCATTAAGCAGCGATAGCCCTAAACCTTGCCTGTTCCAGATCCCCAATGGCTAGCACAGGCAACCAAAGCTCTAAATTATACACTACAAATAACCTAGAAATCAATTCTTCTCCAGACTCTAATGAGCTGCCATCTTTAACTTGTGTTTCCGAGTTATTTACAGTCCTGAACCTAGCGTAAAACCAAAGCACCTAAGCTGGATTCTGGGAAGAGGAATTCTAATGAGTCTTTAATTCTATATGAAATGCTTACAATTGCCGTTTTTAAAATATGGCCGGTACACATTTAATTATTGGCTTACCCATAACGTAACATGTACCGTTTTTCTATTATTGTTCCTGTAAATGTAGTCTCTGTAAATGTATTCTTTAACATTTTTCTAACACTATTATAGTATCATAAATGGACAGTTTTAAAGCAACTTGGTATTTTGAAGTAACATTTTAGGAAAGCAATTGGTCTGTATTGTCGTCTGTCTGCCCAGACTAGTAGTGATGAAACTAGGATGTGATTAGAGGAGCAAATCCAGATCTTGGTCTGTCTTGCTTTCAAAAGCCGATAACTCCCTTGTGGACTGCTAATGTGGTAGGCATACTACTCAATACAGCTTCTTTCTCACCTAGCATTTTAGGTTTAGAAAAAATGACATTTAAAAAGAGTTTACAACCATATATAGTTTTCAGACCTGTACAACTCTACTTGGGGAATCAGACTTACTTTTTAACTGGCAAATACTTGGAATCAAATTTAAATTTTTTCCTGTGGGTGATCAGTCCTTCACAGCCACTAAAACAATAAACAAACAGAAGGCGCCGCCATCTAAATGTATCAATTTAATTAACAACAAGTAAAGGGAAGGGTTAAAACACACTCACAGGGATGAGCGTAAATGGGCATATCATCAGTCCTTATTCACTGGCAAGCTTCGGTGGACAGAGGCTGGATGAATGGATGAGATGTATCCTTAAAACAGCTCTGCAGTATAGGTGGATTGAACCTGGACTGTGTCAGAATGCAGATTAAAGCGTGGTTCCACCAATTTTTTTTTTGTCCCCTATTAGCAATGTCCTTTTGTTGTACATTTGGATATATATGTATATATTTTAAAAGTTTGTAAATACCTTTAAATAGTGGGTAAAGGCGGCGCTTTTGGTCTCTGCCACCCAGGCGATGACGTAATAAGGCAATTCGCAAGGTCACCTGGTCTATCGGGTCTTCTATCTCAGGAGTCCTTGCGAATCCTAGTTAGGAATGAAGTGCGCCACACAGTGTCATTACTGCGCAGGTGCAAGATCGGGAGGTGCATGCTGGGATAGCCAGCAGTACCTAATCCTAGAAATTTAGACCTGCGGGCTTCAGATGCCCACATTCTTCATGGTGCCTGCCTGTTTCCTAGATCGAGGTAAAATATTACTTTTTATCAACTAAAGAGCAGGATATCACATATACCTTTATTCAATTATTAATGGGAAAGATTAAATAATAACGGGAGAGCTTTTTAAAAAAATTGTTATGGGCACTGGAGCTCCGCTTTAAGTTCATATGACAGGCTGTGTCTTCCTCCAACAGCAAATATAGCTGCACTGGAACACAAGCCAGCTCTACAACTGGAATCAACAGTGGTGACTTCTGGACGTATTGACATCAAAGCATGATGGGTGGTAATATGTTTCAGAGCCCACAATCGCTCCTTTGTCAAACCATGAGAGCTCTCAAGATGTAATTTCTGATTCCAGTCCTAGCGCTGGCTTGTGTTCCAGTGTGGCTATATTTGCTGCTGGAGAAAGACACAGCCTGTCATCTGGACTTAATCTGAATTCTGAGTCCAGCTTTCACCTCTCCTGCAGAGCTGTTTTAAGGATACATCTCATCCATCCATCCACCTGCTGTCCACCGAGGCTTGAAGGGGTCTAAAATTAAGGGGTCTACTTTTAAAGCAGCAAATGTGGCATTCACCAAACATTAAAATTGCAGTGCGAGATAAATCCAGTTTGCATTCAAGGAGCAACTCCAGTTTGCATTTCAAGGAGCAACTCCAGTGTGAGTTGGTACTGGAATCTCCTAGAGTCCACAGCATGCAGTTTCCATTCAAGTCTATAGAGCTACCGCACTGAACTCACACAGGGCCCTTTTGAAGCCTTGGTCCATATATATACGATGTGCGAAATACAGCGAATCCTGTGCATTTCCCGCATCGCATTAAAATCGCACATCATTTATACGATCTGCCGCGGGTGCCAATGTTAAAGAAAATGACACCCCAAAAGAGCTTGCAAAAAGGAAGTGCAATTACCTGAATCAAATTGCATGGGTGTTAACAACCATGTGATCTGATTCCAGCGCAACAAAAAAAAAAAAAGGGTCCTGCACAGTTTTAGTGCAGATGTGGTGTGATTTGAGCCATACAAAATAAATGTCTCAAATCACACATGTGATCGCTTGTGATTTGCACAGGAATGTGGTGTGATTCGCAGCAGTGTGAATCTGGGCTCAAATTGCAACAAATTCTCACTATACATATATATGATCGACCTCCATAGAAATGTATGTTCTTTCACTTGTCATGTGATTCCATGTGTTCTGGAATGCATTCAAAATCGCATCAGTGTGAACCAGGGCTAACACTTTGAGCATGTTGTTACATGAGCTGATCTGCATCAGTAACTAAGACTTGAACTCTGTAGTTGCAATAGACGTTGGCTCTGCTCTACAGCTGAGCTGTGCTGTCAGTCGTCACGATGTAGTGGAAAGGTGCACAAGGACACCCAGTTTGTGGGAGAATCTGGTAGCAGAGAGTATTTTAGCTGATCTCCCATTGCAATAAAATTAATTCATAAACAATTAGTCATTTTAAAAGCTCTTCACTTCAGAGTGTGTTGTTTTCTTGTTTGAATAGGCTTTTTTTCTTAAATGATAGTACTAGTTTTGTTACGTATTAATAGCTGTCGCAAGTTTCATTTTCTCTCTTGACATTCTTCATTATTACATTTAAAAATAACTTTGAAAGACGTCAATCTGATGGTGTGCATTGTGTTTCTCTCTCCTGTTCATCCTGTAGGTATTGTGCCAGTGTGTGTGTTGTGATGCTTATGTTCTTTTCAGGATAGGGTGTGGGCCAATGTAGGAAAGAGCCTTAACTGCATTATTGCCATGACAGACAGGCTACTTGAAAAAGAAGACAGCACAAAAGAAGACAAAGTGGTTTCTTCAGATGAAGATCTCATCACATCACACATAAATGGTAAGATATCCTAATAACATCACAGCCTACAGTGAATGGAATGTGTCTACTTACAAGGAGAAGGTGGGGTTGAATACAATAGTTTTTTTCCTAGAGATACTCATGCTATAGGCAGCATTCAAGAAGACAGGTCTCTGATGGAAAATGATGTATCTCATTGTATCTCCTTGTATTTCACAAAGACTAGCAATGCTCAGATGATTTAGAGATGGAAGCAGAAATCTTTCCTATTAATCTTAGTCATAGTTTAAAAGATTTGTTCACCTTTAATGACATTTGCCAAAAACATCCCTATATATTACAGCGACCTCAGTACATTAATGTGCAGTGCTCCATTTTGTTAAAGAAAATTTACTTTTTAAGCTGCTTATTCCATTGCCCTCTCTCTATCCTTTAGATAGCCTGGTCTCGGAAACATAAAAATGAGTATTCCGCTTTGTTCCCTACCTGTGCATATGCAGTCGGTTCTCTTTCACTCTCACAGAATGCTGAGCTGCTAAAGAGTACATGTATTGGTATGAAATGAAGTTGAGTGCTAGTTCATAAGTTTCCAGGACCACGCGTTCAATACTTGGTACGTCCTTCACCTTGCAGGACAGAGAGGGGAGGGCAATGGAATTAGCAACTTAAAATGTAAGCACTGTTTTTCTAAACTGAGCACTACATATAATGTAGTGAAGATGCTGTAATAAATGGGGATGTTTTAGGCAAAAGTCATTAAGGTGGGCTAACTCTTTTATATACACTCAACGGCCACTTTATTAGGTACACCTGTTCAATTGCTTGGTAACTCAAATTGCTAATCAGTCAATCACATGGCAGCAACTCAATGCATTTAGGCATACAGACGTGGTAAAGACGGCTTGCTGAAGTTGAAACCGAGCATCAGATTGGGGAAGAAAGGGGTTATAAGTGACTTTGAAATGGGTATGGTTGTTGGTGATAGACGGGCTGGTCTGAGTATTCAAAAACTGCTGATCTACTGGGATTTTCATGCACAGCCACCTCTAGGGTTCACAGAGAATGGTCTGAAAAAGAGAAAATATCCAGCAGTTGTGTGGATAAAAATGCCTTGTTGATGTCAGAGGTCAAAGGAGAATGTGCAGACTAGTTTGAGATAAGACAAAGGCAACAGTAACTCATGTCAATATGGACCAAAATCTCTGAGGAATGTTTCTAACACCTTGTTGAATCTATGCCATGAAGAATTAAGACAAAAGGGGGTCCAACCCGGTACTAGCAAGGTGTACCTAATAAAGTGGCCGGTGAGTGTATGATCAGCTTATACTGTATGTTTAAAACATATTGAGTGAACACATGTTAATTTAAGTAGCAATTCCCACCAAAATGTTGCTTTGAATTTACTTTAAATATTTTTTTATCCAAGGTTTAAAGCACCAGTACACCCAAATATGTTTAAAGCACCAGTACACACCCAAATATTTTATTTATTTCAGGTACTTACATTCAATGTATGCAGCGCTTTATATATATATATATACATTGTACATTCACATCAGTCCCTAACCTTCAAGGGGCGTACAATCTAACATACCTAACTTACATTCATACATACATATACTAGGGCCAATTTAGACAGGAGCCAATTAACCTACCAGCATGTCTTTAAAATGTGGGAGGAAACCAGAGTACCGTCCCACGCAGGCACAGGGAGAACATGCAAACTCCAGCAGGAGGTGCTTGGCTGGGATTTGAACCAATATACTGCCAGGCGAAAGTGCTAACCATTTAGCACTGTGCTGCCCAGTTAGGTGTGGTTGCATTCCCTACCACGCTTAGTGCCCTATTCATACCCCTTGATATGTTCCACATTTTGTCGTTACAACCAAAAACATAAATGTATTTATTGGGACTTATTTGATCATACAAAGTACATAATTGTGAAGTGGAAGGGCAAATTTTTTCAACATGTTTTACAAATATGTGAAAATTGTGGTGTGCATTTGTATTCAGCCCCCCAAATCAAAACTTTGTAGAACCACCTTTTGCTGCAATTACAGCTGCAAGTCTTTTTAGGTATGTCTCTACCAGCTTTGCACATCTAGAGAGTGACATTTTTGCCCATTCTTCTTTGCAAAATAGCTCAAGCTCTGTCATATTGGATGGAGAGCGTCTGTGAACAGCAATTTTCAAGTCTTGCCACCGATTCTCATTTGGAATTAGGTCTGGACTGTGACTGGGCCATTCTAACACAGGGATATGCTTTGATCTAAACCATTCCATTGTAGCTCTGGCTGCATGTTTAGGGTTGTTGTCCTGCTGGAAGGTGAACCTCCACCCCAGTCTCAAGTCTTTTGCAGACTCTAACAGGTTTTCTTCTAAGATTGCCCTGTATTTGGCTCCATCCATCTTCCCATCAACTCTGAACAGCTTCCCTGTCCCTGCTGAGGAAAGCATCCCCACAACATTTTGCTGTCACCACTGTATTTCACGGTGGGAATGGTGTGTTCAGGATGATGTGCAGTGTTAGTTTTCCGCCACACATAGTGTTTTGCTTTTAGGCCAGAAAGTTAAATTTTGGTCTCATCTGACCAGAGCACCTTCTAACACATGTTTGCTGTGTCCCCAGCATGGCTTCGTGCAAACTGCAAACGGGACTTCTTATGGCTTTCTTTCAACAATGGCTTTCTTCTTGCCACTCTTCCATAAAGGCCAGATTTGTGAAGTGCACGGCTAATAGTTATCCTGTGGACAGATTCTCCCCCCTAAGCTGCGGATCTCTGCAGCTCCTCCAGAATTACCATGGGCCTCTTAGCTGCTTCTGAAATTAATGCTGTCCTTCCCCGGCTTGTCAGTTTAGGTGGATGGCCATGTCTTGGTAGGTTTGCAGTTGTTGCATACTCTTTCAATTTTCGGATGATGGATTGAACAGTGGTCTGTGAGATGTTCAAAGCTTGGGATATTTTTTTATAACCTAACCCTGCTTTAAACTTATCCAGAACTTTATCCCTGACCAGTCTGGTATGTTCCTTGGCCATGATGTTGTTTGTTCACTGATGGTCTCTAACAAACCTCTGAGGGCTTCAAAGAACAGCTGTACTTATACTGAGATTAAATTACACACAGGTGGACTCTATTTACTAATTAGGTGACTTCTGAAGGCAATTGGCTCCACTAGATTTTAGTTAGAGGTATCAGAGTAAAGGGGGCTGATTACAAATGCATGCCACACTTTTCAGATATTTATTTGTAAAAAATGTTGAAACCATTTCTCATTTTCCTTCCACTTCACATATGTGCCACCTTGTGTTGGTCTATCACATAAAATTCCAATAAAATACATTTACGTTTTTGGTTGTAACATGACAAAATGTGGAAAATTTCAAGGGGTATGAATACTTTTTCAAGACACTGTATAGTGGCCCCTAGCAGTCATGAACCCCGTTACTGCAGCTGTCTTAGGCTACTCACTATCAGTGTGTGTGTGTATATATATATATACTGTGATATATACTGTGTGTGTGTATATATATATATATATATATATATATATATATATAAAAAATCGTCAACAAAAGGAATTATAGCAGAGCTGTAGTGGGTGGTGGTATACTACCTCTAGACAACCCTCAGGAGAATATTGTTAAACCCTCAGCAACTACTTACACTGAAATGGTAGCTTTGGGTGGAGTGACATTAAATTGCATTAGAAGTGAACACAGTGGCTCGTCATTATGAGCCTCTGCCACTGTAACCACCACTGTCTGAGCATTCCTGTTTATAATGCGCTCTAAGCCCTGGTTCACACAGGATCTGACTTTGAAATTGTGCGATTTCACTTAAAGTCGCATGATTTCAAAGTCGGATGGAAGCTCGACTTTGGGTATCTATGCAAGTTGAACCCCAAATTGGCAAAAGTAGTGCAGGAACTACGATTAGAATGATTCCATTGCCGATTGTTGCATGCGGTTTGTCATGTGATTGCATGACAATTCACATCAGTGTGAACCAGGGCTAAGAAGAGAGTAAAAAATGTCTGCCACAGAAACAACAGTTTTATGTAGTAGATCCTGTCAGTGGTGGTGATGTACTAAAACGTGAGAGTGCAAAATCTGGTGCAGCTGTGCATGGTATTCAATCAGTTTCTAAATTCAGCTTTTTCAATTAAGCTTGACAAAAAAAAACCTGCAAGCTGATTGGTTTCTATACAGAATTTTATTGAGAGCATCAAAAATTCAATAATGGTTAATATCCCTACACAATTAATTGTGTAAGGTGGAGGGATATTAGGCATTATTGAATTTTTGATGCTCTCAATAAAATGTCAATTTTTCAAACCGCAGATAGGTTCTCTGCTGGGACTTCCTAATGTGGGCTTTTAGTTCACATATTGATACCTTTAGTTTGTGTTTTTGGTCCTGAGGACACCACCCCTAATTGGGTGAGTCGGCTGTATACTCTATTAGCATTTTTCCTGCAGTGGATCCCATTCACGTTTTTAAGATTTTTGGTTTCTATAGAGCTGCACCAGACTTTGCACTCTCCGGTTTTAGTAAATCAACTCCCTGAATTTCATTGATTTGTAAATATGAGACAACCATTGGTGCTTTCCACCCCTGGAACAGAGATATGCTCCTGTTTTTACCATCCATAAAATCGCATTTTGCCCATCCTGCAGAAACATTTACAGTTATCAGTGTTGGATCACAGCTTATTTATTGACTGTTTTTTTTTAATTGCATATAACACTATACAGTGCAAGTAAAGTGTTGCTTAAATAAAATTTGCTTGTGAAATATGTACCTGCCAAGAAGAAGGTAAATTCCATTTACATTGCCCACACTGCCAAACACTGTTGTGATGAAGAAGAATCGTTCTGCATGGTCTCGTCAGAAAGTAGTGTCAATCTCTGGATACCTCGCTGCACTCAGTGGTTCTCCTACTGATACCCGCATACGGTACTTATAGGAGACAACGATGGCTTCTTGGGATGAATGGCAGGAGAAACCACAGAGTTCAGCAAGGTTCAAGTTTCTGAA